TTCTTCTTCTGGACGAGTACTGGATTGGCTAGCCAGTCAGGGTGAAGAATTTCCCTAATGAACCCGGCTGCCAATAGCTTGGTGATTTCCTTCTTGATTGCTGCTTTCTTATTAGGTGAGACCGCCATAGACGTTGCTTAACCATCTTTGAGCCAGGATTTAAATCCAATTTATGCTCAGCCAATTGTCTCGGAACAACTGGCATATCAGTCGGATTCCATGCAAAGATATCCTTGTTTTCTTTGAGAAAGTTGGTGAGCAAGAATTCCTATTCATTAGAGAGGTGGGTGCTGATGATAGCTGACTTAGAGGGATCACTAGTACCCAGATCAATCTCGATGGTATCCATCTTAGAGGGTGGGGCAATGACTCATGTCTTCTTAGTTGGAATATCCGTGTCTTTCGGCTTAGTCTGCTATGCAATATTGGTGATCTCCTGTGCTTCATAGACTTGCTATGTTCTAGCTGCAATCTGGGCGGCTTCCATGTCGTAGTCATATGAGCACTTGAGGTCACCTCGAAAGGAAAGTAGGTCGTTGGGACCCGGCATCTTGAGGAAGAGGTATGGGTAATGTGGTATGGCCATAAACTTGGCCAAAGCAGGTCGACCAAAGATAGCATGGTATGATGATTCGAAATCAGCCACCTCAAACTTGATGAACTCCTTTCGGAAATTGTTTGGGTTGCCAAACGTTACCGGAGCATGATCTGTCCGAGTTGCATGGCAGCCTTGTTGGGTACTATCCCGTAAAAAGGGACGTCATGGGGGTGAGTAGGCTAGTAAAGTCTAGACCTATCTTCTTTAGTGTATCTACAAATATTATATTCAATCCAGCGCCGCCATCGATAAGGACCTTGGGGACTATCATGCCGGCTATTGTAGGACCCATGATGAGTGGATAGTGGCCGGCATTAGTCACGCTAGTCCATTGATCTTTTCTAGAAAACTGGATCGGGTACTCGGACCAATTAAGATATTTTGGTGTTGAGGGTTCTCCTGCCATGATGTCCCGAAGAGCCAACTTCCCTGAGCGCTTGTTTGATGAAGTCGGTAGCCCAACAAAGATTACTACAATTTGGCCCTTGGACTGTTGAAAGCTAGGGTCAGCGTTGTCGTCTCCATCTTTGTTGTTATCAGCTTTACCCTTGCCTTTGTTGCTTTTGGCATAGAAACCCAGTTCTTGGAGTTGTCTGCACTCTGCCGCCGTGTGCTTGGTGTTCTTGTGGAAAGGGCAGGGTAAATTCTTGAGGTCTTCAAACTTCTTATTATTCTTGTTAGACTTCTTAGACCTATCCATGGAAGCAAGGGTGTTGTTGGGTCCTCTCTTTCTGGTGGATTGTCCACCCTGATTGCTTCTAGGGTCGTAACCTTTGTCTTGTGGGCCACGTGGGAATCGTTCATGAGTACATTCTTCAGATGCAATCATCTTCTGTACTGTTCGCTTGAATTCTTCGACAATCTCTAGATTATCGTCACATAACTTTTCAATCTTCCACTTGTATTTGATCCCATTGGCGAAGTGATCTATCACCTCCCTATCTGTGATTTCATAGACTTGGGCTCATATTTTAGCAAAGCAGTGATAATATTGCTAGAAGGATTCATCTAGTTTCTGTTTGCAAGTTCTAAGCTTCTTCCGAATACTTGGGTGGGTGAGGACACCGCAACAATTTTCACAGAATTTACGCTGAAGCTATCCCCAAGTATCGATGGAGCGGGCTCGTAGTCTATCAAACTAGGTGAGAGGCACAATGTTGAGTGCCATGGGAAAATACAATACTTTGATGTCGTCATCGCTACCTACCAACTCAATGGATTGAGAGTAGATGTGCAACCATTGGTTGGGTTCTGTCTTCCCGTCGTACTTGGTATGGTTGGATGGCTTAAACTTGTAGGGAAGCCGAACAAAGAGTAGTCTGTCAGAGAAACATGGGAACCTGTCCAGCGAGATACCAGCCTCTCTATACTCAAACTTGCCTCTGCCTTCCCTATTGCTATACTGGTGCCCATGATAGGCCGACTGCGTGGCACCCCGATTCCTGTTTTGGTTAACCTATGGCCCTAGATGGGACTGTGCTGGTACTCGCTATTCTCGTCCTTGGTTATCCTACATTCCAAGATGAGAGTGGGTTGGTGCCCATGCCTTTGGTCCTCGGGAAGGGTTAGCCTGAGATGTCGCTTTTGCAACCTACATTTGAAGGGTTGTTGATTCCAAAATGACTTTAAGTCGTTGCTGATCTGGAGTAGAGTTTTCTATGGCCGCCATGTCTTCTACTAGGGCATAGATGTTGGTGTAGGGCATGGTAAAGATCTTGTGGCCAGCTACTTCCATGAACTCAGGCTCAAGGTTCTGTGATGCGGAAGTTCTGATGGCATCACGGTCTTGGCATTGTCGTTCTGCTTCTTCATCTCATAGACGTTGTTCATATGCTGCCTCTACAGCCAAGCATCGTCATTCAACGTCTCGACAAGCCGATTGATACTGCTGCCACTCTTCCCTATGGTGTTGGGCGTGGTTGCGCCGAGCCTATCGAGCTTTGTTTTTCTTTTCCCTATCCATCCTCTGCTCGTCAGTTTCTCCGTTAGGTGGTGCAGTGTCTGGGGAGATGTCGAACAAGGCTTCCTCTCCATCTTAAATATCTGGTGGGTTAGGCATAGGGATCTGTGGTGGGGGTGGTTGCCCAGCCATGAAGACTTCTCTAGAGTGCCTCATGGCCGAGTGAGTTCTAGATTCTGCAGTCGTCGCAATATCCAAGATCTCTGTAGAATCATGATCGTTGTTGTCAGCTGGAAGAGTGTTGCCATCCTGATAAGGCAAGAGCTCCACCATGCTGACTAGATGAGATGGATCTATTAAAGAAGTGTTAGGTCAAGCACCCAGCCATTGGACAATGCGTCCTTCGGGTGTGATGGATAGAACCAATCCTCTCTGGGCACCCGCAAGAGGGATCTCTTGCTCAGACTGCACGAGGTAGCTAATCGTATCTTGATAGATTGAAGGCGAATTCTTGAGTCTGAGTGGAAAATGAATAGGGTCTTCAAGTTGGACTTTAGATGGGTCTCCAGCCTAGACAAAGGTGACATGTCCGAGCGGGATCATGGTTGATGGTGACCTCCTGAGTTCGAGTTGGATCGAAATTGAGATGTGCGAAAACTTTTCGGCGAGTTGATCCAACGTGGTCGTCGAGACATTTGGTGAAGCTTGAGGTCCCGGGATCTCCATGAGATGACTTTGGAGCTTGCCGTTGTCGTCTGCCTTGCAGATCCAGGAGCCAAAGATGAAGGTGATTCCCGCCAAGAAAATCATGTCATCGAGGTTTGCCGAGCTCTCGATCGCGAAGTTGCCAAAAGCCCGCTACCTAGCACGCCAGCTATCGATGTTTGATGACAGGCAACTCATCACGGGGTTACCCAGGACGATGTTTGAAGGGCTTCGGCGTACGCAGAACTAGACAGTAAATGCAAATAGATGGACGATTTATACTAGTTCGGGCCCTCTTGTCGATTAATAGCCTTTACATCCAGTCGACATGTAGCCATTTGCGTTAGATTGATTGTCTGATTGTTAGGGTTACAAGGGGGAGCACCGTCACTCTCTTTATATAGGGGAGAGGGTAAGGGCATGTATCTAGTCCTAGTCGGTTACAAGAGAAGAGTCCTAGTCCTATTACAGAATCTAGCTTTCATAGTAAACCGACTAAGTTGATTTGGAATAGCTTGAAGTCCACGCCACCTTATCTCGCATCCTTCAACAGATCGTGGGTCATTTGAGGGCCCATCTGGGTAGTACCCACATGGGGAACCCCTAGGACCCTAGTCGGTCATTATTCCTATTGATTGAGTTTTAAATTGATTCAACTGTTTCATGTACTATATGATTCAAATTTCGAGTGTTCCTTTAAATTCAATTCCTATTCCGGTCGATCCGGATGTGCAATTTGGTTTTTATATTCAAGTTCAAGTTTCCTGATTTCTTTTACATTCAATTCTAGTGCTGGTTTATCCTGAGGTGCAATTTGGTTCTTCTGTTTAGGTTCCAATGAGTAGGTGCTGCCCCCACTTGCTTGGCTTTACCGGTAAATGCTAAGGATCCAAGTTCATCCGTTTCACACAGAAACTACTATTTCAAGGATTCAAGTGTTGTCCGTTTCAGACAAAAACTATTGTTCATGGATAATCTGATTCTTCGTTCACGGACAATGTTGGATTTCTTCTTTTGGTTCTAATTGTACTTGGTGAGTGTTTTTACTCACCCTTGTGTTTATTTGGTTTTTAGGTGCCAAATGACAGCAGCATACAGGGGAACCGGGAGTAGCACCTTCATGATACAAACACCTAGTTTACATATGCTTAGCTTAACTAGAGGTCGTTTAATGGTAGGTTTGGATGAGACAATGTTTGCTATGGTTCCTTTGATACTATTGTTGGGTGATTATATCGCCTTTGTAATGTGATTTACCTGTTTTAGATGCCCAGAATACTAGGGACGAAACTTTGCCAAAATTTTAAATGATTTGCATACATAATAAAATTTAGATGTTGTTTGGTAGCCTCCCGTGGTGTTCCCATCTGGGACGTTACACTTTGATTCACATGAGCAAGTCATAACTTCACATACTCATCATGTCTATAAAGTGGAAAAAATATGATGTGGCTAAGGCTTTGTCATGTGTAAAGGTGAAGTTATCACGTATGTCATTCCTCATGTATCTAGAGAACTCCTATAGGAAAGGGCACTTTTTTATAGCACGTAGTGGACACTATCTTGCCAACACATACCATATAATCCAATGAAACTGATAACTAAACGTCGAAGTTGACTAGGTGCCATGTCATCTCTAGCTCATCCATCTTTTGGCAAAATCCGAGATCTGAACAGATATACATGAGCACTCACTTGTATAAATAGGCCCCAAATCAATAGCTAATCCACCACCCGTATCATTGAGAGCAATAAAAAACTTGCCAAGTGAAACGCACTAGCAACATCTTAGCAACAATGGCCGCCAAGATATTTGCCCTCCTTGCACTCCTTGCTCTTTCGGTGAGCGCTGCAACTGCGTTCATCAGTCCACAGTGCTCACCAGTTACTGCTGCGGGGTATGAGCACCCAATTGTGCGGGCCTATAGGTTACAACAGGTGCTCACGGCGAGCATCTTAGAACAACCAATTGCCCAATTGCAACAGCAATCCTCGGCTCACCTACTAGTTCAGACCATCGTAGCGCAACTGCGACAGCAACAGTTCCTGCCAGCGCTCAGTCAACTATCTGTGGCAAACCCAGCGGCCTACTTGCAGCTGCAACAGCTGCTTCCTACAAACCCACTGGCTGCGGCGAATGCCATTGCATACCTGCAACAACAACAGTTACAACAGTTCCTGCCAGCGCTCAGTCAACTAGCCGTGGCGAACCCTGCCGCCTACTTGCAACAGCAACAGCTACTTCCATTCAACCAACTGGCTGGGGCGAACGCCGCTGCATACCTGCAACAGCAGCAGCCGCTTCCGTTTACCCAGTCGGCTGTTGCAACCGCTGCTGCCTACCATCAGCAACAGCAGCTGCTACCAGTTAACCCATCGGCACTGGCTAACCCATTGGCTGCCGCTTTCCTGCAGCAGCAGCAGCAATTGCAGCCATTCGACCTGATGTCTTTGAGGAACCCTGCCTTGTCGTGGCAGCAACCCATCGTTGGAGGCGCCATCTTCTAGAATACAAATGAGTTGTACTTGATAACAATGTTCTTGTGTCGGCGTGTGCAACTTCCCAGAAATAATCAATACATTGATTGAGATTTATCTGAGTCTACTCCTTATTTTTTTTCTCTCTCTACATAATCAATTGAAAAATATCGAATCATAACTACATCCACATGCTTGATTAATACGTAGACAATACCACATTACATCATCAATATCAAGATGTGCCAGCGTGACCTCTTGAATGTTCTCATTTGGCTGTGTGCGTGGGTGTTCATAAGATAGATGCTGACTGTACATGCGTGTACTTGAGTACTTGCATCTATGGTATGTTGTCTTAAGAAAGTCATGGGCACATATGCTTTGACCATTGTCTTTCAAGTCAGGTGCACGTATACAAATGAAAACATAATAGAAGTTCACGAGTAAACGTATTTGTGCGTGCAAAGCTGGTATGCAAAGTCACACCTCTTAATTATTGTTTCTAGTAAATATTTGGTGCATGTGTTTTTATCTTGGAGCAAAATTGTGCAAGACAACAAAATATTGTAGAAAAATAAGGAAATAATCAGAGCCCATGAAACTTGACAAGGCCAAGGGCATTAAATCAACTAGACCCTATTAGTAACAATTTTGAAGTACATATATAACAACAAAGAATAAAACTCGACGCCAAACTGCCATCCACTGCAGCAGAGCCGTTTCATGAGAGGGGGGGGCCTAAGTGCAGTTCTTCGAATCAGATCAACGTGAAGTTTAATATCCCACGAATATGTTAGAGCAAATTTTTACAGAGGGACACCAAACTTGCGTCAAATTGGCAACTAAACACGGTAGCTCACTTTTCTGCTTGGTAGCATTACCAAAGATGGGATCTTTGCTGATGGGCACCGCACCGACTAAAATATGATTTAGAGTGGGGCTATCAAAACCCAAAAGTAACGTCCCGAGATTAAAGTACTAACCGTCCACCGCCATACTGTTCTCTGTAGAGAGAGAACCCATTTGGAGTGCCATTCTGACACCAAGCCTAGTCCAATGGATTGCAGTTTTCATCTATGTGTAGAATACGAAAAGTTCATGTTATAAAATCTTAAAACTAAACAAATCCAGTAGTTTACTACTGACATGACGGTTTACTAGGGGTAGCTCATAACACTAGAATCATTGTAACCTTAACTCACATGTTATATAAAAGTAGAACAGATATCTTATCATATCTATTTGAGCACCCATAAAGCAAATTATTATAGAATCATGAAATACATTCCTTTGTAAATGAACAAGGCATAGTAAATGAAGCTATGAAGATTTTGTTGGTCTCGCTCAGAAGTTATTATTTTTAAATCTTTTTAGCCATATTGAATTTCCTTAGCCTAAAATTAATGCCCAGTCCTAGAGATTAAGGTTATTATCCCAATGTTCCTGAGATTCTTTTGGACGAGATTCAGGTCGTGTGTAGCGAAATCCGAAATATCTTTTGTGTCGAATCCACGGAATTAAATATGTGTACCTATGTGCTCACTGTTCTAGTTAAAACGAATATGGAGGGTGTTGTCATGGAACTTCGAGTCTTTTTCGCCTAAAATCAATGCAACCCCCATCTTAGTCTCCTTTATCTTGAGTTTTTGCAGCATAGCTGAGCAAGGTTTATGTTAATGATCATGTTGTTTTTTTCTTGAATGGATCTATGCCTTTGAGCCCAAAACGACTTTCTTTCTCGAACAGCTAGGAGGTTGGCCTTGATCCTCTTCATCTGTATATTGAAGGGAAGATTCATATCGTAGATGGTGGAAGGAACAAAAGTGGCAGGAAACTTATCATTCTCCTAACTATATGGAAATAATTTAAGTATGAGTTTAGTGAAAATTAGATGTAAATCTATTTGAATCAAGAGGTAGAGTTCAACATATACGCCCTCCGCTCCAGTTTATTACTTGCTCTAGCTCTTCCCTAAGGTAATCTTACCTAACTTTGATATATTTCCTAGGAAAATTACTAAAAATCTTGAACATGAAGTTTGTTTCATTGAATTCTTCAGTGCATATGTCTTGATAGTGCATTTTTGTTGTCGAAATTTATTTAAAACTTTTTCAAAGTTTGACAAGCTTGCTTTTACACAAAAATAAAGTGAATTGTAATCCAGAACAAAGGGAGTGTGTGGCAGTGGCCAAGATAGTAATAAGCATGCTAATTTTTTATATTCTACTAGATATATGCCCGTGCATTGCATGGAGGCCATGATTTTTTTCCCACACGGCTATTAAATATTTTTTATTGGAAAGCCAAAATTATTTCTAAACCCAAGGCCTTTATCACTTCTCTAATTAACCCTTAACCCCCAACACATGAATCCTCTATAAGACGTAAGACACCAGCATCGCCAGGCAGAGCAGTGGTCGTAGCATAAGGACACACTTCAAAATCATAGTGCACGCAAAAATTCTTCTCTAATTATTATTCTCTGGGACACCCAGCGTGCTTGTTTCGCTGACATATTCATCTTCATGTATTACGTTGATGTAAAATCAACTTTTGGAAATGAAAGAGCAGAGCAGAGCACGGGCACCGCTGGGCCGGTGTTCACCGCTGAGCGCACGCGTGCGCGAAAGTGGTGTAAGGAACTGCGCAATGCGCCTGGCCGGACTCTCGACGTCTTGGTCGCAGGAGCTGCCAGCGGAATGGCACCCTACGGGACGTCACCGGAGCTGCCAGCGGCATGGCACCCGGCGGCGGCGCAAAGGACGGCCCGGCTCGGTCGGCGTTCGGCTTGGTGCATGTGGCCCTGTGCGGCGCTGGTGCGCGCGGCACCCGTGAGCCTAGCCAGGCGCAAGAAACCGCCCTTTGCCGATGCTGTACATCAACATGGGCGACTCCAGCACCATAAGCGGGACCACCACGGCTTGGCGATCGATGCCCCTGGCGACAATGAACGGACATACCTACGAAAGGACGTACGTAGGTAACCAATTTGTATATTAGACTCCCTTGTTCGATCTAGGTCGAGTCACGTAGGTAAGTAGGTAACAGACGTACGTAGGAAACGAAGTCATGTAGGAACGGAGAGAAGAGTCGAGCAGGGCGAGTATTTGCGCTGACGATACCCCTAGGTATTTTTTAGGTGTAGAGATGCGTGTGCATGCATTTTAGACATACGGGGACTTCAATTAGCCACGGTCTTGCAGCATTTGTTCACTCGCTGCTTCATAACTTCTCACATAACTACTGTGTATACTTCAACCATGAGTACGATGCTACAATAAATTTCGTTGATAAAGGCGTTGATTCACATGAGCAAGTCATAACTTCACATACTCATCATGTCTATAAAGTGGAACAAATATGATGTGGCTAAGGCTTTGTCATGTGTAAAGGTGAAGTTATCACGTATGTCATTCCTCATGTATCTAGAGAACTCCTATAGGAAAGGGCACTTTTTTTATAGCACGTAGTGGACACTATCTTGCCAACACATACCATATAATCCAATGAAACTGATAACTAAACGTCGAAGTTGACTAGGTGCCATGTCATCTCTAGCTCATCCATCTTTTGGCAAAATCCGAGATCTGAACAGATATACATGAGCTCTCACTTGTATAAATAGGCCCCAAATCAATAGCTAATCCACCACCCGTATCGTTGAGAGCAATAAAAAACTTGCCAAGTGAAACGCACTAGCAACATCTTAGCAACAATGGCCGCCAAGATATTTGCCCTCCTTGCACTCCTTGCTCTTTTTGGTGAGCGCTGCAACTGCGTTCATCATTCCATGCAGTGCTCACCGTTACTGCTGCGGGGTATGAGCACCCAATTGTGCGGGCCTATAGGTTACAACAGGTGCTCGCGGCGAGCATCTTAGAACAACCAATTGCCCAATTGCAACAGCAATCCTCGGCTCACCTACTAGTTCAGACCATCGTAGCGCAACTGCGACAGCAACAGTTCCTGCCAGCGCTCAGTCAACTATCTGTGGCAAACCCTGCCGCCTACTTGCAGCTGCAACAGCTGCTTCCTACAAACCCACTGGCTGCGGCGAATGCCATTGCATACCTGCAACAACAACAGTTACAACAGTTCCTGCCAGCGCTCAGTCAACTAGCCGTGGCGAACCCTGCCGCCTACTTGCAACAGCAACAGCTACTTCCATTCAACCAACTGGCTGGGGCGAACGCCGCTGCATACCTGCAACAGCAGCAGCCGCTTCCGTTTACCCAGTCGGCTGTTGCAACCGCTGCTGCCTACCATCAGCAACAGCAGCTGCTACCAGTTAACCCATCGGCACTGGCTAACCCATTGGCTGCCGCTTTCCTGCAGCAGCAGCAGCAGCAGCAGCATTTGCAGCCATTCGACCTGATGTCTTTGAGGAACCCTGCCTTGTCGTGGCAGCAACCCATCGTTGGAGGTGCCATCTTCTAGAATACAAATGAGTTGTACTTGATAACAATGTTCTTGTGTCGGCGTGTGCAACTTCCCAGAAATAATCAATACATTGATTGAGATTTATCTGAGTCTACTCCTTATTTTTTCTCTCTCTACATAATAATCAATTGAAAATATCGAATCATAACTACATCCACATGCTTGATTATTAATACGTAGACAATACCACATTACATCATCAATATCAAGATGTGCCAGCGTGACCTCTTGAATGTTCTCATTTGGCTGTGTGCGTGGGTGTTCATAAGATAGATGCTGACTGTACATGCGTGTACTTGAGTACTTGCATCTATGGTATGTTGTCTTAAGAAAGTCATGGGCACATATGCTTTGACCATTGTCTTTCAAGTCAGGTGCACGTATACAAATGAAAACATAATAGAAGTTCACGAGTAAACGTATTTGTGCGTGCAAAGCTGGTATGCAAAGTCACACCTCTTAATTATTGTTTCTAGTAGATATTTGGTGCATGTGTTTTTATCTTGGAGCAAAATATTGCAAGACAACAAAATATTGTAGAAAAATAAGGAAATAATCAGAGCCCATGAACTTGACAAGGCCAAGGGCAT